CAGAATCACAGCAACAGCTAACATTGTAATAAAAATTTAAAAGGAACTTTTTACTTAATTTGAAAGAAAGATTGAAAGAAGTGCTACAAGTTCATATGAAAATCTAAATATTAATATTAAGAATTATTCACATAAATGCTGGAAAGAAACCTCTAGGATTTTTTGTTAATACCATTATTTTTTTGTTTTAATTTAGTAGGCATACTAGTTATATATAAGCACACTAGATAATAGATAGATTATTTATTATCTTGTGTGCGTCCCTGATAATTATAATAAAATTGAAGTAGATAAAAAATTGACACGCGTGCCCAAAAAATGTTTGCTTAGACAGATGTTAACAAAGTCATCAGTCATCAGTAGCGCATTACTGCATGAGCGATAGATATATCGTCCAGCAGTTACTTAATCCGTGACAAACAGACTTGCGGTGCGCGGGCGCACCCACCCCGCACGTCTCTACGCTGCCCGCGTGCGTAAACGTGACCCCTTTGTTTGAACTCCAACTCCAACTACGCCTTAAAACCTTTCTTCTTTTATTATTTTCGTTCGCTGCAGTTGATTTTGTCCAGGATTGTTATTGTGCAGATTAATTTAATGTGCCTGTTGAGAGATATGTTTTGCGACTGAGCCGTTTTAGATGGTTCAATGTTAGTTATTGACCTTGTATTGGCCATGTAAGAATATTTACTACCCTTATATAGTCCCGTAGGTATCGTAAAAGGCAATAGTAGGAAACAAACTAGAAGATGGACAGCGACGTCATCCTGAAAACAACTCAAAATTATAAGAAACTGCGATTACAAACCCGCTTGCCAAGCGTGGCAACTATGGCAAAATCCCCACGAACAGCGGACTTTGATAGGTTATAAATTATAATGGGTGTGGATGGAGTGCTAAATATCATGTAGATGAGCATTGTAAAGTTAAACAACTTATTTTGTGATAATAATATTATTTTTTGTTTTATGTCCAAGTCATATAACGTTCATATAATAAAAAGTAAATCCTATCTTATAAAACAGATTTTGTATTAAATTCATAGCGCATTTTTATATTTAGTTTTACGGAATAAGGGTAACAAAAAGGCATACAATCCACCTAGAAATTAAATGCAAATGAATGCCGTATTGAAATGAATGTATGTAACCCCTAAAGATTAAGCTGGAATTCCTAGCCTCTAGTAAAAAAAATCTGCTGTTCTCTAAACTTACCGTACGAAACAGAGCTAAGCTGCTAATTTACGCTGGTATTCCCTGGTCGAACCGACCCCTTCGTGCTAAAAACATAATATTATAGCCTCTCGCTTTATATAGGTAGCCTTGGTAAGACCTATGGTTGGATATTGTAGAGCGACAGTGTTGTCTACAGCGAATTGGTGATGTTGCAGTAGGAAGTTTTTCAATATGTAGCTGGAGAGTATTTCTGGGTTACGTCAAAACATTTTAATTTGTAATTAAATGGTCAAGGTGATGCAAACGATCAATCTCTTTAATTATTATCAAATAAAACTTATTTTAATGAATTTATCGGGGTTAATTTTAAATCCGACGTTACGGGTACTTTCTAGCACCCATGGTCACAGGGAGGAATAGTGTTTGTTTGTTCGATGTCATAGTTAACGAAAGCCACCTTAATTTTTTAATTATTAATTTTGTTCCGATATACGCAGAATGGGCTTACAGTATCATGAACTTTTGCAGTAGTATGTTTGGATTTAATTTCATTAATTATGGGATCCCGAGTAGATGGTAGCACCCACCCATTTTCTATTTAATAGCCTCGCGAATCATCCTTGGTAGGAATCGGTGTTCTCTTGCGAGGATTTGTTGTCTATCAAATATGTTATAATGCTTGGGACGATCCTGACCATGTTGACATACTGCAGACTTCCCGGAGCGTCGGTGTTTAACATCAGTGATATGTGCTTCCACTAGGATTTTTATGGATTTTTTTGTTTATTCTATGTAAGAGAGACCACATTCACAATCAGTCTTGTATACTCCTATATCTTGTAGAGGGATATTACACATGACGGATGGTAAAAATTAAAAACTGACTTAACTTCTTTGGCGGCTTGTATGATCTTATGGAAGCCCGCTTCAAGATGTAGCCAATCTTGTCTGTGACTCCTCTGACATATGGTAGTGCAGCAGGCACACGGCACATGGCAACACGCTCGATTGTGGCCGGTTTCAGTCAGTCACTATGACGGAGGCACGAGACCTGAAGCTTGGTGTCGTGAAAAACTTTCTTGACGTGCTGGACCTCGGCAGCCACGTGGTTACAGGTGTTGTTGATGATGATGATTCTATGATGAAAAAGAAAATTAATTTTAAACATAGCTAATATGTAATACGTGGTAGAGCCACGCTGCTTTCGGAAAATAGCAGCTAAAAACTGTAGTGTTTCGTATGGTGAGTGTAGGGAGCCGGAGACTCCTTTTTATTGGAAACGAAGCATTCCATTTTAGTCCTAGGGATAATAACGCATCAGCATCTTGATTCTTATCTCAAGGATAGATGTAGATGTCTATAGACCGCAGCATTCACTTACCATGAGCTGGACTGTGTGCTCGTTTGTCACCATAATTCTATAAAATAAATGTTAACATCATTATAACCGTGTCTCTGAAATAAATATAACAACTAATCTTTTTATGTCAATTAACAGTCACGCTGAAAAATATAATGCCATGCAGTGACAAATGTATGTCAACATTAACGTGAAATCTATGCGGTTAATAACCTTAAATATGTCTTAAAACACAAAAAATAGTGTAAAAATGAATAACAGGAAAAGTTGTGGATGAAATTATAAATATGTTTCATACAAATAAATTTCACTCAAACGTTTTACAATTTTCTTGGTTCTATAAAATTAAAATTTAAAATAAAAGTAAGTATTACAGCATATTTTTAAGTATTATTGACAAGATTGCACCAATCAAATATATATTGATGATTATATTTAAAAAAGAAGTTTTGCTTAAACTCACCAATGTTACGTAATATTTTAGCTTTGAAGTGGATGCGCAATTACACATTACACCGCGGTATTTCCAATTTCAATCTTTCTTCTACTTTTACTATCTTTTCCTGCCTATATTATTAATATTTTTACTAAATTTGTTTCGCTATGTATTAAAATGTTTTCTGGATGTTTGATAGCAATTTATAAAACGTTTTAAAATTTTAAAATCTATAAAAGTCCACTGCTGAACATAGGCCTCCCCCACAGACTGCTTCATAGGGGATTGTGCCATAGTTGCCACGCTAGGTTGCGAGTTGACAACCGCAGTTATAGTATAATATAGTTTATTATTTAGAGTTGTTATCAGTAAAATGCCCATCTTTTGTTCCAGTTTCCCTCTGTCGCCTCTTACGACACCCACGGGATGATATGAGGGAGTATATTCTTACACCACCACTACACTGGTAAAATTTCTATGTTTAGCTATTATTCTAAGCGAATACACAAGCTTATTTTCATGTGTAAATTAACAGATTTTAAGAAAAATTGCTTTAAATTACACAAATGCTACTAATAGCAGAATTATGATCGTTATATGTACGTGATACAGTCATGCTGCAGCTATATTATAGTGTAGAACGAACGGGTCAACTCGACACGGAGAAAGGACCACGCTCTCACAGAATACCAGCGTAAAATAGCAGCTTAATACTGCTGTTTCGTATGGTGAGTGTAGAGATCCGGAGACCCTTTTTACTGGAAACGAGCCATTCCATCTTAGTCCTCAGGGGTGATAATATATCCGTGTTTTGATACTTAATCGAGGATAAATGTAGATGTATGTAGGCAACAGCATCCACTTACCATCAGATGGACTGTGTGCTCGTGTGTCACCCTTATTCTATAAAAAACTCACTATAAGGATAAGAAGTAATTTTACAAAGGGTCAAAGATATTTTAAATGTAGATTCACATTTGAATTTAGATTAATATTACAATACCGTTAGAATGGAATGATCACCGGTCCTACTAAGCTCGCCGACAGATTTTAAAACATAGTCTTCTCACTTTACTCATCGCTACCTAATCTATCCAACAACTATTGTAATTTTTAAGATATTATGTATTAATTATACTGATTATCAAAAGTAGGAAATACCTTTGCTCCTATACAACTCTTTTTAATTAATATCTAACGTTATTTTGATTCTATAATCATGAAGTAATAAATTAAAAACGTAAGTACTAAATTACCCTTAATTACATGCTTCTAATACCAGGAGCAGTTCCATGACGACCGGTTACTGTGCATATCAAACTTATTTTTCTTTTTTCTTCTCTTTTCTTTATTCTTCTACTAAAAGTATTAACTACTAGAAAAAATTTGGTAAGCGGAGTGTAGAGTGCCACTCGCTAGACGACCTAGTAAGATATGCAAAAAAGTCGATGGATGCAGGTGGCTCAGGCTTTGTGGTATTCCTTGGGGAAATCTATGTTCAGCAGTGAACTTGTAAAGGGTTGTGAGGGATGTTGATGATGATGATTAAGAAAAGTAATATTATCTGTACAGAAATAAAATTATATGAAACGTTTGGTAAGGTAGCTTATGGTGTATACGCTTCGTCATCAATTTCATAGTCCAGTCCTAAAGCAAATTGTGCGATTCCCACCAGCATCATTGGATTGTTAATTAAAACCTTTAACGCTAATTTACCAAATGCTTGATGGTAAAGAAAATATCGCGAGGAAACATTTGTGCCTGAAATATTAAAAATAATCATAGAACAAGTTAAGTTTTCCAACACAAATTGCTTGCTTTCATCATGCTTTCTTGCCCCTTTTCCTGTTAATATAGGCCATTATTTTACATTACTGTTGTTTAGCTACCTTTTTTAAGTTTTTTATATATTTTATTCAGTCAGCATAAATGAAATGGCTAAAATACTTTCAGCTACTTTTAGTATCACTAAGCTTAAGTCGCTTACCACGCATTAAATTAGATTTTCATATTTTCCACAGCAATAAACATGGAACAAATATTTATGATAGAAATTTTCGTCAAAAGAATTGTGTTAAAAATCGAACCACCAGAAAAAGATGAATACGAATTAAGATTAGAGGAAGAAGAAAGAAAAAGACAAGCGGAAGCATTAGCAGCAGCCGAGGCAGCTAAAGTTAAAAAACGAAGAGGCACTAAAAAAAAGAAAAGAAAGAAAGGAAAAAAAAGAAAGAAAGGAAAGAAAGTAAAAGAACCCCCTAAACCTTCAGAAGAAGAAATGAAATTCATGCAAACTTGCACTTTACAGATGAATTGCTTGCCGCTTTTTGATTTCTATGTGGCCCACGATAATTTCATTCCTCCGCCACCACCACCACCACCTGCCAAAAAAGGTAAAAAACGAAAAAAGGGTAAAAAAGCAAAGAAGCCAAAAAAATCCAAAAGGAAAGGTAAAAAAAAAGTTGTTCCAATGAAAATTGTTCTACCTTCAGAGCCACTACCTCAACCACCTCATTTTGGCGTTGGCAATTCGATCATGTTTCTATCGAGACCATCAAAGCTAGAGGAAATTTTAAGTGAAACTCCCATTTATATAACAGTTTGGAATAGAGATCAGGAATTCAATTGTATTGGCTTCTGTAAAGTCGAATGGCACAAGTCTTTCTTCGAGTGCCTGAAAAGATCTGCAGAATTAAACCCCGTGAATATGGATAAAGGGGAATACAGGGACACCTCAAGACCGGAAATGATATCAAATACATTAGAACTTACTAGATTTTTATCATGTGAAGAAGATTTGAAGCCTTCTGGTGAAATTGAATTTTTCATTCGTTTGACATGTTTAGGTAACAGAGTGATAAGTTATTTTGTTGCTATACCAGAAATGGAACGGATACCGGGTAGAAAATATTTAACTGACGATATTAAACTCAAAGATTTGGAAGTGGTTAGGCATTGGGATGGAACTACAATAGATGCTGTGCCTCCTATAGCGTACTTTTTTGGAGCCCCTGATATTACCAGAGAGCCAATACGACCACCTGAAGAACCAAAAGTCTATGAAGATTTTGTAGCTCCATTTACATCTAGTGAGCTTGCAATTCTAGCAATGGGCTTTCCTAAAGGTCCTTGTGAAGGCACGAACTGTCCGAAAAGAATGGAGTACCGGGGTAGTCAACACCAGTTCATTCATGGCGAAACTATCAAAGGTAAATATCAGCATGGACTGTTTGTGAATAAAAGAGATGTACATGGACCTTGCGGTAGACTAGATTGTCCACTAGCAAAACAAGTAAGAGCTTATCTCTGCACGGAAGGGAGTTATAAGCCTTGTAAGAAACCATGTTGCAAGGATTATTACTAAAATATTTGTTATTTACATTTTAATTCTCTCATTATACCGCAAATAAACAATCAAAATATTGAAATATGCCAAAATATTAGATTATAATACAAAGATGCGACAAAAATCAATACAGAAATAATGAACGAAGGGATTTCATTTTATTAAACATCTTAACGTTTAACAAACTCTACATCCCGAATGAACCCTTTTTAAATAGCAAAGTACAGTGAATATACCTTGAAATATAATTCAAATATTTCACCATCATAACTATCTGGATGCTTGGCGGTCCACCAATGTGCGTTTTCCTAGGAGTTTTTTCCTCGTACAGTTTCACTGTGGTATTATTTAACACCAGTGATTTTTCCGGACCGATACGACTTAGGGTCCTTCAAGAAAAGCGCTTATTCCTTTCTAAAAGGCCGGCAACGCACAAGAAATTTCCCTGGTATTGCGTTTGATCATGGGTGGCGGTAGTCACTTATCATCAGGTGAGCCGCGTGCGCGTTTGCCCCCTCTTCTATAAAAAAAATCTTCACCATTTCAGCCCTTGACAAGTCTACTGCTAAACAAAGAACGCCACTATTCATGGCCGACCCATTGCCACTTCAGTTTACTGACCCGTTGAGCTATGTCTGTTACTCTGATTCTACTGCAGATATTCATAGATTGCCTCATCATCATCAGCCTACGGCAGCCCAATGCTTAGCTATAGTGGCCACACTTGGCGAGTGGTTTGATAACTGTAGTGGTTTTTTTTTAATTTGATCTCAGGAAAAGACAGTAGACACACATAATATGTCACAAGAACTATTATTGCTTGCACTTGCCTATTTTTAACACCCATATCTCATATGACACCCTCGTATAACACCCATTGCTGCAAGTTGTATTAATCGGCAGAATTCGTATGTACATATAATAAACTGTAAAAAAGTAAATTATATTCGAATAACAGTGATCTTATCTAGATTCGAATTACACAGAATTAGCCATAAAAATAAAACACCGCAAAAAAGCAAAACGCAGTGAGTGAAAACAAGAATTCCATGAAGTGATCATCATTTGCGATATGCGATTAACACGGCGAAGTCCCCATTCCCTTGGCACACATATCGTGTCACACACAACGAATTTGCATCAATCAAATGATACAAGAAAGTAAACCATATTCCTATCATAATAAGAAAAAAGAAGCGAAAAAAATATGGTATTTGATGTACAATCATTGTAATTATTAGCCTGATTTTGACGTTCACAATTTATGCGTTTACGCCCCGTAAGCGTGAATAAGTACCGTAATCAAGACATTTCAAAGGATCTCACAAAACTCAAATGTGCATTGTTTTAACACAATCTACACGAGTATTCACTCTTCCCATGTTTCAAATTTCGCCTGTACATTGCACAATGCGTTTATTAATCATTTTGTACAATATTAAACCATATTTAAAAAAAAATAAGCAGCCATATGTAAACTTTCGCTATTTTGGAACTCAAATGAATAGTGAAATTTGTTCTAACCAAGGTAAGAAGTCATCAAGAGAATAAATGACTCATCTATAACTTGACAAACGTTTTGTTCGTGGCGCTGCATATTTTTCTCGTATATTTATTAGTCATCTATGCTTCATCTTTAGTATAATTAGTTATAATTACGATGCATATGCGAAATAATCGCTTCATACCAATTAATTACTTCCGTGAGTCGCTGATATGCGCACAGTAAATTCTACATATACATAATTTGTTGAATTTAAAAATATACTTCAGTAATACGACTTCATTCGCATATAATCTTTTTGTAATTTTAGATCTGGTAAGACATACAGGAAGTCGATGGATGCAGGTGGCTCTGGACCGTGCTTTGTGGCATTCCTTGGAGGAGGCCCATGTTAACCAGTGGACTTGTGGAGGGCTGTGGACTGCTGCATGATGATGATGATGATGATGAAAGGCCAACGCTGACCTACGCTATTGATTTAACTTAAATTGTACTAGTACAGATATTTTTATAATAATAAGGAATAATTTCATCATATAACCGATCAAGTGCATGGATAACTTCAACATCGAAGATACGGCACGATCACTTGAATTATATATTTTTTTATAGGATAAGGGTGACAAACCAGCACACAGTCTAGCTGATGTTAACTAGATGGCTGCTGTGGCCCATAAGCATCTACATCTATCCTCGATCATGAATTAAAATACAAATGCGTAGTCATCTGTGAGGACTAAGATGGAATGTCTCTTTTCCAGCAAAAAGGGTATCCGGTTCTCTACACTCACTATACGAAACACTGCAGCGTTAAGCTGCTATTTTAAGCTGGTATTCCGTGAGAGCGTGGTCCGAGCGGGCCGAGCTATTCGTGCTACAACTATACTACTCATATAGCTGCAGCATGGATCTAACCCGTAAAAAATCTTCGGAATAGTTAAACCGATTGTAATGATAGTTTACGAACAGACGGAGAGCAATGTCTGGAGTGATTCAGGCTATATTTTATATTTATCCAAAAAAAAATAATGAGCTTTAAAAATATAATAATTTAAACTAGCTACCAGCTTAAAATAAAACTATGTAACATATATCTTAATATAAATTACGTGTCACGTTGTTTGTCCGCGATGGACCCCTAAATTACTTAACCGATTTTAGTCAAATTTGCACACCGTGTGCAGTTCGGTCCAATTTGAGAGATAGAATAGTTTTTTTGCCCATGAGTGACCCATAATTTATTTTTTGCGAATTTAAGTATTTTTAATACGACATGACGAAGGGTCGTCAAAAAGGGCGGAATAACGTCTGCCTGGTAACCTAGTATGCCAAGTTTGCCAAGCACAATTAATATTAGAACATAGTATTTATAATTCAAAATAAAGTTTGTCTACACAAGATGTTTACAGTGTCCCATTCCTGAGCACAGGGCTCCGCTCATTTCTAAGAAGGTTTTAGGGCGAGGAATTGTCCGCCGTGCTGCCTCAATGCGTGTTGGCGAACTTCATATAGCTTCGAAATATATTTTTCTCTTATTTCTCAGACTAGCAGGTTTCCTCACGATGTTTTCCTTCACCGCTGAGCACTTCCGTGTATTTTCCTGACAACAGCTGAAAATGTTAAAACTGCGATGGCCAACATGCCAACCCGCTTGTTATGCGTGATGACTATGGGGGAGGCCTGTGATCAGCAGTAGAATTTAGATAGGCTGTGATGATAACATTTTCATAAATACATATTTTTTTCAAATTATTAGGAAATGACTTATGAATATGAGACGTAGCCCTTCACTGCTAGCCATATGAGGACGCTCAAGGTCTCGCTCAGCGAGCTATGGAGAATGCTATGCTCGGAGTTTCTCAGCGTGACAAACTTATAAATTAGGATATTCGCAGTAGAACCAGAGTGACCGACATAGCCCAACGGATTAGTAAGCTGAAGTCGCAATGGGCCGGCCATATAGCTCGAAGAACCGACAACGGATGAGGAAAAAATGTTCTCGAATGGCAGCCTCGTATATGCAGCAGTGGACCTGTGAAGGGCGTTTTACATATAACATAACATAACGATGATGATGATGATGATATTAGGAACGTATTATAATGTTATATGCTTATTCTAAAAACTAAAAATCTGGTTTGAGTGTGTGTAAACCTTATCAACTTATCACTCAATTCGCACACTCAGTGTAGTTTATCACCTCTAATGTATTCAAATGTATGCAAAAAAGCAATGCACTTTATGAGTTTATCTATAACATGGTACGTGCTGTGCGGTCCTTTGAGACACTATGAACAATAAACATATATATATATATATATATATATATATATATATATATATATATATATATATATATATATATATATATATATATATGCTCTTCAATCTAGGTAAACACATCATTGTAACTACTTTTACGGATTTTATCGCGTTTTACCTTACATTAATTTTAATACCCGACGTTTCGGGCGCTTTCCAGCACCCATGGTCACGAGGGACTGAGGTGACTGACGTCCCGATTTCAAAGTTAACCCGGAGTTCCTTCAGCTTTTTAATTATTGTTTTTGGTACGATCTACGCAGAATGAACTAACTGTATTTTGAAGTCTTGCTGTGGTATGCTTGGGTTTAGTTTTAATTTTATTGACTATAGGATCCCAAGCAGGTGGTAGTACCCAGCCTCCTTCTCTATTGAAATTAGGATTTTTTTTTTAATTTCAATGGCCTCACGTATCATTCTTGGTAGTAATCGATGTTCTTTCGCGAGGATTTGTGGTCTATCAAATCTGATGTAATGGTTGGGGCCATCTGGAATATGATCGCAAACTGCAGACTTCCCGGAACGTTGATGCTTCACGTCAGCTATGTGTTCTTTTACGCGGGTTCTGATTGATCTCTTTGTTTGCCCTCTGCCTCTCATATATAGGGCAAACAAAGAGATCAATCAGATCACTTCAAAGTACAGTTAGTTCATTCTGCGTAGATCGGACCAAAAACAATAATTAAAAAGCTGAAGGTACTTCGGGTTAACTTTGACATCGGGACATCTCATTCCCCCGTGACCATGGGTGCTGGAAAGCACCCGAAACGTCGGGTATTAAAATTAATATAAATAAAACGCGATAAAATCCGTAAAAGTAGTTTTAATCAATATTGGTATCTTTATTAAAGAGATGTAATTACGTTTTTAAAGGCTATTAACAGCGATTTGATACTACTATCCGTGTAGTGAAGAAGAACACCTGCGAAGCAAACCTGTAGCAGTATCTTTCTAATAACAACTTAAAATTAAAAAAGTTGCAGTTGCCAACTAGTCTACTAAAAACGTGATTCATATTGCAAATATCCGTCCTATGAGACGATATATGGTGGAGGCCTATGTTCAGAAATGGACTTTAGGCTGTAACTTAACGACGAATTAAAGGCGAAACCTTACCTCTAGATAAGTGATGGTCACTATTTGGTGGTCTAGCGCCGGTGTGGCTTACCACAGATTTTATCTGGTCTGGTCT